GCAGTGGTGTATTGCCTCGTGAGACTTGGAGTGCCAAACAGATCTGATTTCCTTCTCCAAAGAGAAGATGATAGTACTTGATGCGGAGGAGATGATGCAGAAGGTGTGGGGTGGGCATGGGACAGGATCTGGGGAAGACACAGGCAGTTCCCCAAAGAGGTGGAAGCCTAGGTCCTATAAGCTGTCTGTCTGTCTGTCTGTTTTAATGACAAGGACTGTAGAGCGTGCAGAGCCGCTCTTGCTTGCAGCCTTGAGGAGTGAACGTTGCATAAAGAGAGCATAAAACTTAATTTGGAATATGCAGATTCGCTTGGTTTGTATGCCTGACAATACTTATTAATAAACAGCTTTCATTTATAACTTTTACTCCGTTGGGCGGATTACAGCTAACTGCTGGAAATCCAGATAAACAGGAAACCAAACAATTTATCAGTGAGCTTGATCTCGGCTTATCTCTTCTGTTATGACAAGCAATGGTTATGGACATTGATTCAATAAAGCACTAAAAAGCGCGCTTTGACTTTATTGGAAATGAAACACCTGCTTAAAGTAAAGCAAAAGCCTAAGAAGGGCATTATAAGGGCCATCAAGCCATTTCACAGTCGGCTGCCTGCTGACAATATGATCCATGCTCAGCTCAGTGTAAGAGCAGAAACAGTCCTTTCCCTGACGAGATCCCATCCGAATCGAAGCCTGAGGTCAGTGGGGAGTTCTGGGTGGGCAGGAGGAGGGCACCCGTCCATCTCCCCTGTTGTAGTTCAACCCTCACGAGGGGTTGTTGGGATGGACAGCTGGATGGTGATGAGTTTTCACATGCAGCATAGTGGAAAACACAGAGGGGAAAGAGGGGTGATAAACGATGTTTCACAACTAATTTCATTGTTGGCATTGCGGGAGCTGAAGGAACACCAGGTAGAGCAATGCGGGACCTGCAGACAGGGCTTCTCGTCCCGGAATGAAATGTTCGGCTGCTGGAGGTTTTGCAGGGGCTTGAGAGGGGAAACTGGTCAAAAGTCAATGCAGTCTAACAGGATGCTCTTCTGGAACATCAGGGCAGGGACCTTTCCTGCTCCTCTGCTTTCAGACGCAGACACTATGTCCCTGTTACACTCAGGAGGTGTCTGTGGTTGAAACAGATCATGGATGGTCACTGATAGATGTTTGTACTGAAATTTACAGCTTTTTAATGTGACTTTTCAGCACAGTTCTCTCAATTTAGCCAAGGCGCAAATAAGTCAGTGATTGTACCGCTGGGCTGTCCAGAACCTGCCGTGTTTCACCCAAGCCAAGTCTGGCTTTGAAAGAGATGAGGATGGTACCGGTGACAGTGGGCTGTGGTGGTTTGCAAGCCTGGTACCAGACACCACAAACACTTGCCCCCCTTGGTGCAGAGCAATGCCTCACCAGGCACTCACAGTGCTTTTCACTAGCAGAGGTCTGGCCCCTCATGCACAGGCTGGCGTGCTTTCAGTTGGCTCTCTGAGGGGGAGTGGTAGCGAGGTTTTATTTAGCTTTTTATGTCAGCCCTCTTCTCTGCAGTTTGGGAAACTAAACCACACAGAGTGAGTGTTGAGAGCTAGATTGGAACGGGATGGAGAAAGTTGGTCGGATGTGTCCCTATTTTGTGTTTTGAGCTGGCGACGACCAGCCAGTGAACAATTCACGGTAGCAAATGGGAAGGGGAATGAGCTTCAGGAACATGGGCTGCTCCCAGATGATGGTCACTGAAGAAAATGTTTGGAGCTCTCTCTTTTGGCAGGGATGAAACCCAGCTTCTGTAGAATTTGTGTAGTGGCCAACCTGTTGTTTAAAGGGGTCAGGATGTTGGTTTTTGTCAATGCAGGAGAGCAGCGTTAAATCTCGTTTTGCTGTTCCGCAATGTCATGGGACTGTTAATAAATCCAGCAGCCTCGTGTCAGTGAGCATCTGGGAAGTTTGAGGTGCTTGCCCTCACCGCTGGCTGTGTGGCAGCTCTTCAGGCTGGCGGCGAGAGGCAGGCTCTGTACTCGAGTTGTGATGATCTGGGTGGAAGATGAGCCTCCCTACCTACAGGGACAGCTGAGGACTGCCTGGGATAGTGACCTCTCGCCTCTGTTCTTAGCGCTACTTGCACCTCTTTCCTGGCTAATTTCATAAGGCCCAGCATAAGTGGCAGCATCTTCTGATAAAATTACCTTCTGGTATTTCCTACTTCGGAAATACCCTTTCTTAAAATAATGATGCTTAACTGAGTTTCAGGCCAAAGAGGACTATCAGGTCTTCTAGCCTGACCCATGCAACAGCCTTGAGCAGCACAACCTCCTGATAAAGCAGTGGAGGAACAATGGGATGGTTGTGTTTGCTGCCAGTGAGAATTTACCCACGATATTGATCTTCACATCCGAGCCTTGCTGGGAGAACTGTGGGACTTCTCATCATGTGTGTTTGTGGGGTTGTGTTTTAGCTGTTAAAAAACAAATAAATAAAAACATAGCTGTAGCTGGGCGCTTTTACAGGAAAGCATACATTCAATTGGACTGTGCAAAATAGCCTTTGCCCTTGGCTCAGCCCTGGGAGTCTGCTAGGGCTGAGGACTTCCCTGGGGGACACTGAGTCAAAGAGACTTAGCACAGATCATCAGAAATTCATTTGCAGTAACCTTTAAAAACCTGCATCAGTGTAGTCCCCTGCGAAGACTTGAGAGGCCAGTGATCTTGGGAACTGCCTTCTCCTCTTGTGAGCAGAGATGTCGTGGGGTCCAATGCTCTATGAGCCAGTACTGTAAAAACAGCCTATGGAGATGGCTGTGCTTGCTCGGTGGGTGCGAACAGTCCAGGGAAAGAGACATCTCAGCTCTCCCCTCCGGTGCGGCAGCGGGTGTGCAGGAGCAGCGGTACCTTGGACAGCAGTTACTGTCCCCGCATGGCTCGTGACCCTCCTGCTGTGGCAAGCAGGATGGGGACAGATGACACAGATGACACGGGGGGCAGGCGGATGGTCAGCCTCTCCGGGACAAAGGCATCCCACTTCCAATCTGCAGGTGCAGCGGGGTGGAAGGGCTCCGGGAAGTTCCCTGAGTGGCGTATCGTGCCAAATGTCCCGTCTAATTCAGCTCTTGACCTAAGGCAAAAGCACTGACATACATGAGTGGTGATGTGGTGTTGCTCTTTCCTAGTGTGTGAAGAGACTGCTAGGGGACACCCAGGGACCTGCAAAAGGGGTGTTTTGTTTAGTGACAGAGCCCAGCACACAGTGAGCCCCCCGAGGAAGCCCAGCGGGTCACTGTTGGGGTAGGGCCTGGCTGCGGGTTACACCCGTGCTGTTCCAAAGGTATTTTGGGGTCTGTCACAAAAGAGAGTGGGGTAACAAAGCAAAGTGGCTGTGCTGCCATGGGGGTGGGTGGGTGGCTGACTCTCACCGCTCATGCTCTTGACTCAACTTCCCCCCCAGAACTGGTCACAGCCACCACCGCAGCCGTTCCAGCCTCTTCTGTCATCCTTCACTCGTAGCTCCTGCTGCTGTTCACAGTCAGCAAGGAGTTGTCCTGCAGCCCCTGGAGGGAGCTTAGCTCCGTGGTGGATTTTAGCACTTCTCTTGTGAGAAGCCTTTGGGCAAGGGATGAGCCCCACACGCTGTGCTGGCGCTGGGGGCAGCGGGACAAAGTCAGTGCACTCTCTGCTCCCCTTCTGTGGACAGTTTGCGAGTTTGGGAGTTGCAGTAACATGTGCTTTGAATGAATTTAGCCAACAGGAGTCCCTTGGCAGGACTGGCGAGCTACAGTGGGGTTAAGGAAATAGGAAAATATTTCCCAGATTGTTCCTGTAGAGCGGAAAATCCTAAATCAACTTGTAATCACCTAGTTACCTCTGAAACCTTTACCCAGTGATGTGAGGAACCTGAAGGACAGTCGGTGAGCAGGCAATGGTGGTGGCCTTCTGTGCTGAGCAAGGTTGGTCTTGTCTCCTTGAGCTTCTTGTGTTTTTGCTGAGAGGCTTCCTGCTGCCTCTCTGCGGTGTGGTTTTTGACAGGTCCCAAGATGGTGAGCAGTAATGTTAGGATGTGTCTGTACTGCAGTCGTGCACAAGGGCCTTGGGCCTGTTGCGGCTGCGCTCTGCAGGCACGGAGGAGCAGATGGGCCCCGGCTCGCGGGTTTCACCCCTCGTGGAGAGCTGCTCTTCCCTGCCAGGAACATCTCCTTTCGTGGCTGACACTGTCAAATCTCGCACGCCAGCTGCCATATCCTCTCTGTGAAGCTGCAGCTCGCTCCCAGCAGAGTGCTTTCTCCAAATGTGAGCTCCTACATGTGAGGATCGAACCACCACAACTCAGCCTCCCAGCAACAAATAGGCCAGGTGGGGACCTGCTTTGGTAAAGCTTCTTTTATGCATCCCTGGCAGCATTACTTCAACTTTTGCCAAAGCTTCTCCAATATTTCCATATCCTCCTCTGCACCGAGCGGGCTGTGGACTCCAGCAGTGGTGTGCAGAAAGCCAGGACCATTTCTCCTATGTCTGCTTGATGATGCTTGTGCGCAGAGAACTCTGCGGTCACCGCCAGAGATGCCATGTCATGGCAAGGACTTGTGTGGCTGTGGTTAGTCCTAAATACTGGAGCCTTTCTATTAGAAATTTTTTATATGTTTCCCAGCCTGTACATGCTGCATTCAGGTGGCGATTCAGGACGCTCTGTAAGAATGAATATATATATATTTTTTCCTTTTTGTTGCTATCCCACCAGTCAGTGTGCCACCGTCAAACTTTGCCAGGCGGAGATCAGCAGTAAGAAATGCTGAATGGCTTTGGTGCTGGTACCAGTCCTGGGGGGCTCTGCCAGTAACTACACTGCTCTTTGATGTCTTGGTATAAGCAGCGGTATTTCAGCTCTGTCAGTGATGCAGCGTTTGATCTCTCTTGTGTTCTCCCTGCCAGTTCCACGCAGGGGAAGTTGCTAATTAGGATGTCGTTTGGCATTAAGTGAAATGCACTGCAGAAATTCAAGCCTGTAGACCCTCAGGGCAGGGACTTGAATGGACAGCCCTGGTCCTAGCAGCCCCAGAGCATGTTGTTACAGTCACCTCACTAACAGGTGTCTGCAGCAACCTCGAGATGCTGCTTGGACCACAAACGGAAAGACAAAAAGCATGTTTTGCAGGAAGGCTGGGCTTTTTGCACCATTGCTGATGATGTCAGCTGAAGAGCTGTGGTTCTGCCCAGCTGAAGCTGTGTGCCTCGTTTTTTGGAAAGCAAAGCGAGGTGCACCTGGGGAAAAATAATTCCAGAGATACTGCCAGGGAGAGAGGCAGCCTGCCTTCCTGCTGCTGGTTGTGGCAGATGCTGGGGTGGCAATGGAAGGTGATAGTGAGAGGATTGCCGTGCACAGGCTGGAGACAGTCGCAGGAGACAGATCATGTCAGGTTGATGGCAGTCGGGACCGGAGGAGTTGGCCTGTGAGCAGTTGTGGCTAGGAGATAGTGAATGGCCCAGCTGTGAGATCCTTGTGCTATTTAGGCACTGGCAGTGATTGGAGATAAGAAAGGGAGCATTCAGGTCAGCCTTCGAGGAGAGAAGCCAGACTTTTGAGTGTGGGCCTGCGGCATTGTCTCCCGAATGGAAGCGATGAAAGTCCAGACGCACGGCGCGGGGCAAGCTGGGAGCGAGTGACCTTGTGCTGGCCTGGACAGAAGGCTCTAAGAGTTTTGTTAATCTGTTGATCTAATGACTCACGCGATTCGTGTGATTTGCCTTCCCTCGTAACTTGACTGTGTCACAGCACTGGCAGCGGGCTGCCTGGTTCGCCCGGGACCTGCTTTTCCCAGCAGGTGCTGCAACACGGGAGCTGCGCGTGAACTCTGCTCTCGTGGCAGGAGCTGGGTGAGCGGCGCTGGGCAGCAGCCGCTGTTGCTGCAACTTGGCCTCCGTGCCAAGGACAGGAGGGAAGGCTCCCAGAGGTCTGCCCAGGTTGAGGTGCCAGGAGAGGGCTCTCGGCTTGGTTCCCAGGTCCCTGACCTTCCCTGTGCATCTCTTCTGCACTCATTACTTGAATATATACCTCTCACCCGCTGTCATCTGCCCCTTGCAGCCCAGGCCGTGCTGCTATGAGGTTTGTCTCACAGTTCTGCTGCTTTGGGTACATCTCGCCCGCCTCTCAGTGCCAGAATTTGCCTCTACTTGTCTTTTGTGTGGACACTGCTCATTCTGTGTGTTGGGAGCCATTCTGCCTCCAGGCACACACGCAGCCAGTGCCTCCCAAAGGCTGACCTCCTTGTCCTCTAGTCTGTGTGAATATTCTCTGCTGCCCTCCCCACCCCACGTCCTCCAGCAGCATGCCAGGCACCTTCCCTCTCCTCGCTTGCGCTGCTCCGGACAGCATGCTGCTTTGAAGTGAGACCCAGAACACACAGAGAGCCCGCAGGGTGGATGGGATCCAAGCGGCACGTTCCGTATCTGATTTGTATTGTCTGGTAACTGTTTGCTAAATCCCTGGTGCGGGAGCTATGTTCCAGTGCAGGAGAAAGCTCACAGTTGGTCAGAAAATACAAACAGCAAGTAAAATAAAAATAAAATAAAATAAATAACAAAACAAAACAAAAACACAAAACAGCATTCGGTCTGAAGCCTATATGGAAATAGCCAGTATGGCAATAATCTCTAATTTTATTTATTTATTTATTTATTTTAAATAACCATTTTAATTGAGCCATTTTTATTATTGGCTAGAGAAGTTTAGTTTAGCTCTGGAAAAGGCAAAGTATGAAGGCGACTGAGCTAATCCATGAATGCCTTGCTGAGAAGTAGCTTTCTTAGAGCAGAAGGCTCTTTAGTAGGTAAAGATATGGAGATAAATCATGCAAACTGAGACAAGGAAAAAGAGGGTGCAGGTTTATTAGTGTCTCTCCTTCCTCAGGAGATGAATTGATCTGCTGAAGCTTAATTCAGGACTGCATCTGTCCAAAGGATTCGTCCAGTGCAGCGAGAAGTTCTGGGTTTGGTGGGGGACACAGTAAAATTCTGTGGACTTGGGGATATAAGTCTGTATAGTCTTAAGATGAATGAAGTCAGAGAAATAGTGTTTACAGTGTCCTTCAGTCCATCCCTCCTTCAAGAGCACAAGAAGGGCACATCAGCTCCTGAACCGGTCCTGAACCGGATCCAACTGGCAGAGCAGGAAGATTCATGCTGGGCAACCCCACCACTGCTCTCTAGGGCAGCGTGCACCCGTGGCAGTACCTACAAACACCCCGTTCGTACTCTGTGGCTGCCAAGCAAGACTTGGGGTGCTGAAGCAGGATGCGTTGGATCTTTTTCTTTCCTCCTTGGGGAAAGAAATGACTGCCCTGAACCTGTCTGCTTCTTTTGGTCGTGCTGCTCTGCTCTTGGGACCTGGGAAGTGGTATTGGGTCTTGGGAGGTTTGTGCCACTGGTGAAGCAGAGGTGAATGAGGACTTCCTGCAGTGATGGTAGGGGAAACCAGTGATAAAAGAAGCTGTTGGTGCCCTTTGTGGTTTTTGTAGGAGTGTTTCTGGAGCAAATGCTATTGCCATATACTGCCGAGAGCAAATGCTGCACAGTTGCATGTCCCAGCAGTGTGAGAAGGAAGATCTCAATGACCCGATGCTCCTGTTTGTGAAAGATTGGTTGCACAAAAGCAGCAATGCCCTCCCCAATCCCTGGCAGAAGTCCCATCTGGATAAAGAGCTCTGCCTTCGTACACTCAGCCTCCTCTGGAGGCTGTCCAGGCCGGACAGGAGGGACCTTGTTGCCTCCCAGCTAGAAGGGAGGAACGAGACGCCTGATCTGGACATGGTGTTCCTGGCGATGCTTGGCTGCCTGTAGGTTTGTATTCTGCTGCTGTTTGATTGTTCAGCTTCACGCCCAAGGATTGTTTTGTGCTGGGGGGCTTCCAGGGGAAGCAGCGCAGCTCCAAGTCCTGAATCTCCTGCGCAGGTCTTCATAACAGGGCTGAAAGTGGGCCCCAGCGTGGCTTCTGGACCACTGAGATTCCTCAAAGCCTTTCTAGGAGCCCGGCAGTGCCAGTGGCCCTGTAGCAAGGTCAGTGTCCAGGGCTGTGTCCCTGGGGCACTCTGCCTGGCAGTAGCAGGGCGGTGACATTGCACAGGCACCTTCTGCCAGCCTTGTCAAGTCCCTTTGCCTCCCTGACTCTTTATTTCCTTTCCCAGTCACTGCTGACCATGGCCCGGGGCACTGGGTCATAATCTCTGCTTAATGTCAATATGTAACTGGCAATTCCTTTTTTTTTTTTCATGTATCGCCAATATGTTTGGATAATAATTCTCACTGAAGAGAGCTTACACTGACAGGGAAGAGAACTGAGCCAGGCCTTCACGGACGTCACCCGACAGAAGCTCCTGTCCCCAAAATTTGATATCTATGTATAGCCAGTGGCTGAGAAGAGCAGCACAGCTGTGGTTTCTGTGCCAGAGCAGAAGCTTTGGCTTAGAGGTCTCCTTTTTTCTGCCCTGTCCTTCACCTGAGGCTGGGCAAGCGGAGCTGTTGCAGCCCGACTGTGGGAGCATCCAGTGCGCTCGGATGGAGTGGCCTTCTCTGGTCCTGCTGTCCTCCCGGCCAGCCCTCCAGCACCCTCAGCCTGGGGAGGGAGATAAAGGCGTTATCTTCTGCCTCTGGTTCTCCAAACAAACAGGGCAATGTGCCCCCCTGGGCAGGCACCTTGGACCCGCCAAATGGCGACGCTTGTGTGGGTGCTGCTGTTTCTGCCATCTTAGCGCATGAATTGACAAGCAGGGCATTGACGGCAGCGGGGACACACACAAACGCTCCACTGTGTCCCCTCTCACACCTTCCCCTCCTCCTCCTCGGCCCCGATGCCCGGAGGACAATGGCTCTATCCAAGCCAAGGTTCACAGCTGGCAAGGGCGGAGGAGAGGCCAGGACCAGGGTGGGGAGCCGGAAGGAGAAGGGCCTCGGGTCCGGAGGGATAGCGGCTCTGAGAGGGAGCGGACAAGGAGAGATGGGAGCTGGGGAAATTTGGGAGGGCCTGGAAGAGGGAGAAGGTGCTGACAGGCGGAGAAGCCAGAAGGAAGGTGGGAGGAGGAAGAAGAGGGTCCAGGAGGGAGGATGGGGCTCACTCACCTCTTCTGTATGGAGCCGCTTGCCTTTTTCTGCAAGGCTCCTTGAGGGACATGCCCTTGCCCTGCTGTTGTGTAGAGTGGTGCTTTCCTTTGGCTCCTCTTCTGCCTTGGGATGTCTCGCCACACACCTTGTCTTCCCCAGAACCTGGGAGAGAGGATGTTATCTCTATACTGGCTCTTATCACCTCTCTACTAAGAGGTCAGGAGTAGCAACAGGTAGGAAGGGTTGCTGTGAGCCTGAGACAGGACATGTCAAACACTTAGGGACACTTCCTGGCTTATCCCAAGGCACTTTTGTCAGATCTATTCTGTGCACGCAAGCTAAGAAGATGTGGGCCTGTGTGAGAGCAGAGGGGGGATTTCCAGGTGATGTGGGGCTGCTGCTGCCTTGGCATTGGGCTGCAGCCCACCGATGTTTTGGTTGCACTTTGTAATCTGGGAGGTTTGCTGCTGGCTCACCGTTCAGCCCGGTTGTTGCTCCAGGGTCTTTCTGGCCAATGTAGACCCTACAGCTCTTTCTATAGCACTTGGAATCCGGAGCCTTGGCTAAACCCCACCTCTGTGTCAGTGGGGATGCAGGAGCCGCCCCATTGCTTCAGGAGGGCAGGTGATATCCTTGGCGGTGGGCTGACAACGTGATGTCCCTGGGAGGAGATGTGGGGTAGAGGCTGAACTTCTGCATCAGCTGAGGCAGTGCTGCCCTTTGTGGTGGGAAGGGGCACCCACTGGGTTTGTGCGTGCCGGAGAAGGGTGTCTTCATGCAGCTGGAGCCACTTGGTGATGGCACATTGGGGTGAGTAACCAGCTGGTGCAGGTCAGCTCCGTCACTCTTGGATCAAGTGAAGGTCCCCAAAGTGATGGAGCTGCATGGGTTGGCACCACATAAACGTTTCCCCTAAAGGCAGCCTGTGCAGACCCCAGCAGGCTGTCCTGGAGGGGCTGAAGGGGAGCCATGTGTCAGGAGGGGCTCACCCCCGGGGGGAGACGTGCTGCAGGACAGGGAGGGGACCCGGGGGGCCTTTCTGTGCTGTGGGCAGCAGAGGCTTCGCTCCAGGGTGGTCCCGAAAGCGCTTTAGGGGAGACGGGGGAGAGGTCTGGCTTGGCGTCCCACTCGGGTTACAGGAGCCACTTCTGCCGGGAGTGACTGGTTATCGTTACAGTCAGGTAATAAAGAGCATTAATTAAGGAGGAATGCTGGGACCGGTATCTGGGGGGAGGCAGGGGCTGCGGGGTCGCGTTCCCTCCTGCCGAAGGGGATGTGTCCCCCCTCCGCACCCTCTGGGCAGCTCTGGGTTGGGAGCGTGGCAGGAGGGGGAGCTCATCCCGCTGTCCCTTCAGCAAGGCGTGCTCTGTCCCCATGGCTGGCTGTCCCCAGCTGGCTGCTGTGTCACCCAAGCCTCTGGGCAGGGACAGAACTCTGTCGTGGCCTCCTGTCCCTCACTGCATCCCATCCCAGGGCAGCACAGGCACAGGGGGATGCCATTCCCTGAAAGAGCAGGACAGTGCTGGGCAGAGCCAGCTGGAAGGAGCAGATCTGAAGCCAAGCGCTGGCCCCACAGCTCCCCGGGCTTAGGCGGTGTTTGGTTAGCGAGCCGTGGCCCGGATTCCTCGTGCTCGCGGCCCGGCCGGCAGCCAATCCTCCAGGGCCGAAGGATAAACACGGGAGGAAGGCGAAGGGGGTGCAGAGCGGCGTGGGGCCCCGGGAATGTGCCGATGCGGCAGCCCAGCCTGCCGATTGCACAACCTGGGGGGGAAGATGGTTGGGCCACGCGCCTCGATGCCGCACTGACCGTCTGGGCATGGTGTGCTGCTGCTGAGTGATGCTGTGCTGAACCAGGCAATGCCTGGCTGCTGGGAGCAGTGCCCGGCAGCATTTGTCCTGCTCAGCCTGGTGTGCTCCTGAGGCTCGGCGCCTGTTCCAATATGTGCTGGAGACCACGGGTATTTGCCCCCATCCTGGCCATGGGGTCAGGGCTTGGCCTCCACAGCGCCTTGGGAGCTCCTTGTCCTGTCTGGAGTGAGTGCACAGCAGCACTACAGCCCTGACGTCTGCGGCACTTCAGGAGAAGTGTCTGGGGAAACAGGCAGACCGTCAGCACAGGCGTGGCAGAGGCTGTCGCAGGTACCTTTCCTGAGCCTTTCTGTTTTGGGAGCCAAACAGTGCTGAGATGGCGGCAGAGGGATGGAAGCGTGCGGTAAACACTCACCAGCTGTCTGTGGGTTTTCATTTGTCTTCATTGCAGTCCTCTTCTCACTGGCTTTCACAGCACTCAGGGTGGAGCAGAGTGCTTCATTTCTAATTCAAACCTGCACTCCCTGAAACCGAGAACAAAAATTCAGCCTCTGGTGCACGGCTACAATGCTGCGGGGAGGCCCTTGGCTTGGCACAACCTCTTCTCTTCCTCCTCATCGCTGGCATTCCCCCACCCTTCACTGATGTTCCCCAGCCCATGAAAACAGTTGACCTCGTTGTCATCTCCAGGTTCCCACATCTGGTTCTCGTTAGCAGATCCCAGGATGCAGTTCCTCGGCTCTCTCCCTTCCTCCCACCCGCAGGTGACCCAGGCAGGATTATGGGCGATTAGAAGACAGGCAACAGAGCAAGAATAGGTGGGGGAGGGACTGTTATAAATAGAAATACCATAAACTTATCAGCCTATCACTCGAGGTAAATTCTGGTTTTAATCTCTCAGACCTGTAAATATGATGACTCGCAGGGGCCAGACACCTTTAACTCTTTCAGAGCCCCGAGGCCGCGTGCCCATCTCAGATGGGAAACGGGATGCAGCAGAGCACCTGAAAAGGGGACAGGGAGCACCCTGAGCCAAGAGGATGTCACCAGAAGAGACGAGCTGGCAGACTCACTCCATCCAAGCAGAGCAGTGGGGAGACAGCAGTGCAGGAAGCACCTCCGTTTGGATGTCGATCGTGTTTGGAGGTTTGGGGAAGGCAGAGAAAACCAGTCCAAACATTGGGATTCCTGACATTCTCACACGTACAGGGGCCTCTGCTCGCCCAGCGCTGCTCACAAGGAGGGTGCTGCGGGTTTAACATCTTGTTTTTCGGGCAGAGTTTACCTTTGGGGTCTCCTCCTTCCTTTTGTGAGGAAGGGGTGGAAATGCGGGGGTCAAGAGGAAGGCAGGACAAAGGGATCTGGCAGGTTTGGGAGTTTGTTTGCAGCACGGACTGAAGGAGGGCTGAAATGGAAGGTTTTGCTGTAAGAGTTTGATCTGATGAGCCTCTCCATGTCTGTACAGGGAGGTCAGCATGTTAGCAGGGGGGGGTTGTACAGCGTGGCTGAATTACTTGGCCCTGGTGCCCTCCTGCCCCACGATGCTCATCGTGTGCAGAGCACGCTAATAAGCTGCTCTGCAAGAAGGTGCTCTTTGGGCAGCTCTGTGGGGTACTGCAGCACGTCTCCAGGCTCACTGCTCCAGATTGGAGGGCAGAATTTGTCCTGTTGAGCTTCAGGGACATCAGCGCGTTACAGGTGACAAAACCTCTAGTGAACATTTTGGAGCAGGTGCTGGTACAGAGGCAGGGCCGTAGGGCAGGAGGTGCTATGTGGGCATTGCTGCTGTCCTTCCCATGGCAAGGAGGCGAATGCCTGGCAGCACAGAAGCGCTTGGGGCTTCCGTGGGCTCCTCCATCTCTCTCCTGCTGGGAGAAGGGGATGCAGGAGTCTGTCTCGTTGCAGGGCCGTGTGGGTGTTATGCTTCCCAGGGTCCCTGCTTCATGGCTTCCTACTCCCTCCTAATCCCCAGGTTGGAGGGGGAGGGATTGTTGTTAGTGTCATTAGGAGCTCGTGACTCTGTGGAGAAGTATTAGCTTTTAATTAATCACCTAAGCTGGCTTTTGGTTAGAGCCTGGCCTGCATGGAAGCTACGGGTGGTGGGATGTTCCTCGTGCGGGCACGCTGGCGAGACCCGCTGCCCCAACATTCCTGCTTTGTTGTAGCTGGCGTGACTGCTTCCATCCGCAGGCCAAGGAAAGTCCTTTATTTTTCAGATTTTTTTCCCATCACACATGCGCAGCCGGCCCCCCGCCACGCTGTTATCACAGCGCCACAGCTGACGCACCTCTCGCGTCAGGTTGCTTATCACACCCTTTGCCTGGGTCTCAGCTGAGCGCTCCTGAAGGTGACTTCTAAGAGGAGGTAGCAGAAAAATATCAGAGCCCAGCAGCTCTGCTGTCTCTTGAGGGCTTCCCATCCTTTCTGGACAGGTCCCAGGTTCCTCTTCCACCATGGAGAAGCTGCTGGAGTTCGTAGGTGTGAGGGGATCCTGTTGGGGTCAGATGTCTTGAGATTTTTTTATGGACAGGCTCAGTAACTTGTGAAAAGGCAGCAAAATCGGTCAAGTGCCCTTTTTGCTTCTTTGAACCTGGGTCCCCACCCTGGGCCTTGAGATGAAGATGGGCCTTCCAATAGCTTTTGAGGTGGATGTTTGCCAAATGCATCGTGATTTACAGCTTGGTGTCTGACCAAGGGTGAGGTGGCAAAGAGGGGCAGTGCTCACCCCTGGCAGAAAGTTTTGGCCAACGATGATGCTCACAGGGGGGAGGCTGAGGGGTGGTTTTTGCACAAGGGGTGCCTTAGTGGAGACATAGGTGGCGAAGAATCAGAAGCAGGGTATATCGAAGGTCCTGGGGCTTGAGTGAGGGACACAAGCACCCATGGTGCTGGCCCTTAATGAGCTCTGCGAGGGAGGTGCTGGTGCAGCTCAGGACCTCACAGGCTCTGCCTGCCTTGTTCTTGTCCCACTGCAGTGCCAGCCCAGCACTAGCATTGCATGTCTGTGCTCTGGATGTGTCCCTTTGTAATGAGGATTCACACAGGAGAGTGTCACCTCCTTGTCCCCGGGCTCTGCCATGGAGGCGCACGGTGCACAAAGTGTTAGGTGTCCTGCAACGGGACGGATGCCCGGGATTGTCCCCCCTAGGCAGGGTTACTAAAGGAGAGATCCCCCGTCCGCACACACACCCTGTCCGTTTGGCAGAATTCCTGGCTGGATTTATTTCTGCCGATTTGCTTGTCTTGGTATGAAAGGGATTTGCAGAGGGGAGTGCTGCAATTGGCCGGGTGCGGGCTGAAACCCCCCGTTTTCGGTTTTGCGGTTCAATGGCTGACCTTTCCCCACCGCCTCGCCTGCGGGAGGTGGGGGCCGTGAGCAGGTCTCCTCCTGGGCCGGGGACACTGTGTTTGGACATGAAGTGTTTGGGCCTCTCGGGAAGGGCCCGTCTTCGTTATCGGAGCTGGGGGCGGCAGGGGGGGCCGGGCCTTCTCTTCCACTTTCTTGGCAGTGTCTTTGGCACCGAGGGCTGGCACCGACCCCAGAGGGCTGCAGACTCCCACTTCAGAGAGACAGATAAAGAAAGCACTTTCTGTCAACAAAACCCGGCCCAGCTTCCCCAGAGCAGGAGAGGGGAGGAGGAGCCCTCCAGGAGAAAGGAGAGGGAAGTCCACCGCTTGCCCCCGCAGGAGAGAGGAGAGGGAGGAGGGCTCCTGCGGCATCCAGAGCCGCTCCAGAGCCATCATGGCAGCGGTGGAGAAATTCCAGTGCGTTCTGCAGGGCAGAGGCGAGGGTCTAAAGGGAAGGACTCCAGCTTTCCCAAAGCACCACTGAGCCCTGCTTTAGGGCCCTGGCCTCTGCACGGATCACTCTGTGCTGTGGCCCCTCCATCAGCCATTAACTGCAGCCCCAGCTAGGCTGGTGCCCTTGCAGCTTTGCTGACAAAGCTGCTGCACGCTGCATCAGGGCCAAGTCAGTGGTGGTTGGGCAAGAACTGGCTCTCGTGCTCCATGGAGCTCAGGCCTGGCTCCATGACCTCTCTTCTCCCACGTGTCCTGAACCCAGCCCCTACAAAGCCTGCTTGACCCACGGCTGGACCGTGCCCTGCAGATTGCTGCAGACGAGCCCCACCTGTGTGTCCAACGTCCCAGGCTGTGTCACCACCCTGACTTGTCCCACACACACTGTCCCTGTCTGGTTTTACAGTGGGATGCAGATGGGTATGGACAGATGGTCCTTTTCAAAACAAAGGATCTTCTCAGATTGGTTTCTTGACTCAGCAAAGGTTTTTGGTGGTGTTTCTGACCTGCACGGAGAGGGTCTTTGCCTTTCATGTCCTTCTCATGGCTCTTGCTTCTGCCTCCTCTCCCCTTGCAGGCCATGACATTAATGGAGCTCTGGAGCCATCTAACATCGACACTAGCATTCCTGGAAGAGTACATCAGCAAGGAGGACTCACCAGATATGTAAGTGCTTCCCTTGCTCCACAACAGAAACAGTATTCACTGATGTTATCTGTGGAGAGGATTTTGAGCAATTTCCAGTCCTGCAATGTGAGAAATAATCTGGAAATGACTGTGTGCCCTAGCTGTATTTCTGTCCCTCCTGGAGTCCTCCTTTATAGCTCTTTATTCCCTTATTTATTTCTAGTTCTTCCTCCTATCTCTTCCCTGCTTCTTGCCTTTGAATTTCTTGTCTCTTAGCCACTGTCTTCTGTCTCTTCTTTTCTCCCTCCTTGAAGGCACTGCAAAAGACTTTTTCTGAATTCGAGCAATGTGAAAGCAAGCAGTAGCAGCTTGGTGTGAAAGATTAAATCCCCAGCACAGCATGAGTGTGGAGAAGGGAAGGGTCTCCCTGTGTGCACCGGCAAATGGGGGGGAAGACAGACCTGGGCAGCAGCCAGTGGGGTCTGGGCCATAGGTTGGGAGCAGGGTCTTGTGCTGACGCGACAAAGCAGCTTTCTTGTGCTGGTCCATAAGGTGCAGAACAGATCCTACTGTCTCCTGGTGCTTTCAAAAGCTTTGAGGTTGGTTTCCTTGGCACTTCTGGCCTTTACAGCCCCATGGGTGGATTTTGTGCCATTGGGGCTGCATCAGTCCCATTGACCTGGGTGACCAACCTGTACGCTCTTGCTCGTGCCACCACAATGCTGGCTGTTTCACTCATCTTCTGGGTGTCCCAGATCACCCAAATGGCTCTGTTCCCACTGCTGAAGGGCTGGGTAGCGGGTGGAAAATACCGTCTGCCTGTCCTGCTGCTGAGGTTGTCCCCTTCTCTCTCTCAGCTGTTTCCCTGACATCCCTGCTTCAGCTGGCTATGCGCACCCCCAGCCCTCCAGCTCAGCTGCCATCAGCGCACCTCTTCCCAGCTCCGTCGCCAGTGCTGGGCATGTCACCAACCCCGCTCCCAGCGGTTCCCTCCACCTTCCTCCCCCGGGCGGCCAGATCCCGATCCGTCACGGTCCTCTTCTGGCCAACCCTTGCGGACCCAGCTACGGTGCTCACCTCAACTGCAATAACAACAATGGCATGGTGGTGCCCAAGGGCTACCTTGGTGGCCACTGCCTAAACAACGTGGTCCCTCCAATCAAATCGGAGCCCAAGGCCTCCTACGCACCTGGGTAAGTGGGGCTGGGGTGGCAGAACGAGGGCACATTGTGGGACTGGTGTTCCTCCAGGCTGGTGGTGCTCGGAGGCCTGAGGTAGCTTTTCCCACAGTGCCTTAACTGCTGACCACGTCAGTCTGTTTTAAGCCCTTGCTTCACAGAGAGAGGCTTTTTCACAAGCTGTATGTCCTGAAGTTTCCTGAAAGGTTGTTGAGTTTGGGTCTTGTCTGTCTGCATGGATTTAGGGAGGATCAGTGACATCCCACACTTCTGCAGGTAGACGGATGACTGGGTTGTCCATGCTCTACATCTGCAAGCGCGTGATGGGAGAATCATAGAATCATAGAATATTTGAGTTGGAAAGTTGGAAGGGATCCACAAAGATCCACAAAGATCATTGAGTCCAATTTCTGAGTCTCCAAAGGACTACCCCCCCAAAAAAAAAAATCAGAATGTTGTGGTATCATCCAGTTTAAGAAGGAAGAGATGCAGAACACATTTGAACAAAATAAAACTCAGTTTCCAGGATGTGCCCATGACTATCTCAGGGGAAAGTGTTAACTAAGTTGGGAAGAAAGATGCGTTTCTCTTGGCCTGATGTTTTAGAGACTCCACTCAAGAGGAGAGAGTGTCTGAGCTGGATTTATTTTCCTTCGCAACAAGCTGTGGATGCAGCCTTGGTGAAGGGGAAGAGGATAACAGTTTTAGTAGTGCTGATGGACTCAACTGGAGAACTAGTCCTGGGAGGAGGAAGGATGTGGTTCCTGCTCCGTGTGATGGCCTTGCCGAGAGCATGGCGACATGGCAGCTGCCATCTGCAGTGATCACCTTGGTGGAGAGCACTTCGGTGTGGTGTGCCAGGAGGGTATGGCAGTGGCATCTGGGCTAGGAGCTGGCATGGTGGGCGGGGGACCTCTCTAAGGCTGCCGTCCTTTCCATGAAGTTTTGCTGCCTGGAAATTCACACAGAAGACTATGTCTTGTGTTTTCTTCCTCCTCATCCCTCTGGTCCATGCTGCTCCCTCCCAGCCACGGGAGAGTGAAACAAGAAGGTGATCTGAAACTGGGCGGATGGAAATCAAAGCGTGCTGCAACATATCCATCAGCAGGAGGCCTTGCCAGTTGGTGGTGGTTGTACCTCAAGGAACAGTGTCGTGGTCCAACCCGTCCCCGTGGCACAGGAGGTGGGTGGCCATGCTGTGCTCTCTGCATAGCCAGTCTCTGCCTTCTCCAGTGGAGCCTGTGGATGTAAGGGACGCAGAAGCAAGGATGGGCCCAGGACTGCTCATCTCTACAAGCCCTTGTCTGGCTTTTCTCCCTCTGCTGTGTGCCCTCTAGTGTTGCCAGCCAGTACGGCGTGGTGATTCCTGGCTTCGGAAGCCACCAGCTCA